TTGTTTCAACTTTTTTTTTTTTTTTTTGATTTTTGTATATCAAAAATAATTCAGATTTTATTTTTAATTCTGACTATAGTTTTAATATACTTTACAAATAATTTCAACTTTGCAATTCTGTTTATATAATTCTTATAAATATTAGACAATGTTACAATATTTATAATAATCTATTTGAAAACATTCAGTATTCCTCGAACATTTCGTAACGGTACGGAAAATTCCAGCAATTTGCCTTAAGGCACGATGCCACCCACCCCACTATTTTATTTTATTAATGATAATTTTACAACAGATTTAAGTCATATGGTTACATGTTGAACTTTTTATTAATTTATATAAGAAAATTAAATAATATAACAAGCAAATATTTTTCTCATGAATTATATTGAATTATAACTTGAAAAATATTTTTGTTGCTACAATATCAAAAATATTATTAAATTGCATAGTTTCAAAGCGAGTACAAATGTTTGAGAGTTCCTTTCTGATGTTTTTGATTAAATTGGTGCAAATTCGTATTTATCTTATAATTTTGGCCTTATTTTAAATTTTTAATAGTAAAATCGGTGCTAATTTGAATTATTAAATAAATCTTAATCTATTTTAATATAATCTTACGTGCGTTCTAGATATTTAGTAAGTCGACACCCATTTTGAACTATGTAAGGTTATGAAATTTATAAAGTCATAAATTTCTAAAAATTGCTTTCAAACTAGAATTTGTTTATTTTCTTCTCTATTTCATCCAAAGATAGTGTAATTCTTACAAATTTGTAGAAAAGACGATTCAATATATAAACTTTAGTGGTGCATGACGTTGTGCCTTGAGACAAATTGCTGGAACTTCCCCTACCGTGATGAAACATTTGAAGAATAATTAAATGTTTGCAAATAAATTATTATAGCTTTCATTATTCTTATTTTATAGACAAAATATAAGAGCTTATGAATTGCACGACGACGTTAAGATACGTTTACAGAAAAGTAAATATACAAAACTCAATTAATCGGAATTTATAAGAATTATATGAACTAGTTGCAATGTTAAAATAATTTATTTGAAGTATATAAGTGAGCTTTATAACTTTAGCTAGAATTAGAATTGAAATCCGAATTATTTTTGATATTAAAAAAAGTTTTAGAAAAATTAAAAAAAAATCTCTAAAAGTAATCGTTTCGTCAACACAAGCAGAAAGATTTTTGCTTAACTATTGTTTTTTGAATCATTCAAATCGGATGCTTAGTTTTCTCAAAAACTGCCACTTTTTGCACATTTAGCTCCGTATCTGCAAAATGGCTGGACCTGCTACACACAAATCCGTTTTTTCTACGGTATGCCAAAATGTTCAGAAACTTTCAAAACGTGAAAATATGCAAAAAAATCGATTTCGATTTTTCGAAAATTATAATAACACCCTACGGGAAGTTAAAAATTAGAATTTGAGTTTAGAAATATTTTTTGAATCATTCAATTCGGATTCTCCGTTTTCTCAAAAACTTAATTGCCATTTTCTGCACTCTTTGCTCCGTATCTCCAAAATAGCTGGACCAACCTTTGCCAAAAACTAATCAGCAGGTCTCCTTATCAACAGGATCAAATCGAATGCTTTTTGAATAATTCAAATCGGTTGTTCCGTATGCATGAAAACGTGAACAAAAAATTGTATCCACACATACATACGCACACAAATACATCAATTTTTCTAAGTTATGTCAAAATGTTCAGAAGACCTTGAAACGTGAAGATATGCAAAACTTTTCATTTTCGATTTTTGCGATTACCATAATAAAATATCATATCTGCCTATACAATTTTACGTCTCGGATTTGAAAATAGAATAGTGCTAGATGCGATCGTAATCGAATAATATATATAGAACTAAACTTTGGTAAATTCTAAACACAGTTGTTCCGTAAGTATTTCTAAATGGAAACACCTTGCAGTGACAGAATATGAGAAAATGGAACTATCCCATTAGAAACGGTATAATCACCCACAACAATCATTATGGCGTTTGAAAGTTGCACAGCAAAGTGTTTCCTAATGAGAATTGCTTTAAAACTATTTGCCGTGCTACGTGAATTCAATAAACAATGTTATCTCGTTAATATGCAAATAGTGTGAACGAAATATTACCGGCGCTCCAGCTAAATCCGATTAGGGCAATAATTAAACATTAACTAACTTCTGATACTTGAAAATAGTCATTTTCAGGTAGAAATGTAATTTCAATTCCCAAAATGATGTAATCTATAGAAAAAATATATCATATGTAAGCAAAATCAGCTTAGAATCTACCTTTTTTTAGTTCCTCGCGAATTACAATCTGGTTCATTGAAAAAGACATTTAGTAATTGTTTTGTTAGTTCTATTTACCAACTATGGCTATTAGTGTGAAACCCAATGGTTGTCCTTTTTAAAGGTGATTATTTTTTTACTTAGGGTAGAGCGGAGATTAAAGGTCTGCAGGTAAAAAGGTCCACCACCAACATCTCAAAAATTAGTAAAGTTAATAATTTTTTACCAATGTTTGAAAGTTTGAAAGAAAAAAGATGTTTAATCAGCCATCACCTTGCAAATCCATAAGAGAGGTATTTTATTTCGTTGTTAGTTTTTTTTTGTTTGAGAGCACTGTTCTTTAGTTTATGAGACCTTAATACCGTTTTAAATTATACGTTTTTTAAGATGTTGTTTTGTTATGGATTTGCAAGAACTCTCAATAAAAATATGTTAAAAAAATCTCATTTGGCGGTCAAAAATGTTTAATGGACATATGTACATCAAATTATCAGATATTTTATATAGATTAATAATGTGTACATATTTTGTGTCAATTTTTTTGGGTTCCGTACCAAGATTTTTAATTACTGTATGGGAAGTTTCAGCAATTTGCCTTAAGGCACGATGCCATGTACCCCACTAGTTTTTATGAAATATTCAAAGATATATAAGATTTTTTTTTGCAAATTATAAAGAAACAGCTTGACTTTCAGACATTTTTAATCTATCCACGGATTTTTTAACAAAGTTTTTGCCGTTAACACAGTTAACTGGGTACTTAAAGTAAACATTAGAAACTAAAAAATATTTAATCAGCGGAAATTATACTGAAAAAAATGCTTCATTAATTATTGAAAATGTATCCTTTGTATACATTTTTGTGTTCATTATATTCAATTATTACAGTAATTATTTTTTATTTCGTCTGTGGAAATCGTGAACAATACCGGAAAAGTGATTGTCTGCAATTAGATGTGCCTGTGGCAGTACTGGAGGTAATTAATATTATTGTATTGCTGTGATCATTATCATCATCGCCGCTCTTTGTCGATGAGAAAGTCAAAGAAAAGTGTAGGCTTTCGAGATGAAAAGCCAAGTACTTTAACAAGTAGGTAATTAGATATACTTACAAATAAATATTTAGAAAATGTTTGTTATGTTGGAAATATTTTTACCGTAATTTAAAATTTTTAAAAGCTCAGAAAAGAAAAATTATATATTTTTTTGATATTTTTTTTTTTGATAATACTGATATATTTTGAAAATTTAGGTTTTTATTATTAGAAAAAATTATTGAAAAATTTGAATTTTTATTAAAGTTTTCGATATTTATTTATGTTGGTTAATCCATACTGTCGAAAAAATGTGTCTTTCAACCGTCAGGTGTCATTTTTTTAAACTTTTTTCTGGATCTACAAAACCGTTGGACCTACCTTTGCAAAAATTTAGTCAACACTTCATTATGTCAGTACAAATGAAATATACCTTGAATCATTCAAATCAGATGCTTTGATCTCTCAAAAACTTAGTTTCCAATTTCTACACTCTTTCCTCCGTATCTCCGAAACGGCTAGACCTGCCTTTGCCAAAAATTAATCCGCACGTTTTTTTATTAGTGGGAATCGAATGCTTGATGAATTTCAAATCAATTGATCTGTGCGCCCGAAAAAGTGGAAAAAATGTACCCATACATTTTTTCTAGCAATGAAGTATGCCAAGGGGGCTTCCATTAATCACGTGAGCGAGTTTTTGAGAATTTTTGGACCCCCCCTCCCCCTTGGTGATACATGATGATATTCAAAATTAACCCCTTCCCCACCAAACATCACGTGTATTTTTAGTTATGTGAAAAAACTGTAAATTTTTGAGTAAAGAATTTTTTTTTAAAAATGTTTTATTTAAAAAAAACAGTTAAAAAATAAATACACGTAACATCTTACTATACCCCTCTCTCCCCACGTGATATTTCGTGATTTTTTGTCAAACCCCCCTTCCACCTAAAAACCTCACGCGATTAATGGACGCCCCCCAAGATGTTCAGGAAACCTCTGTAATGCAAAGGTATGCAAAAATTTTCATTTTCGATTTTTGGACGATTACCATAACTTTTACCCTACGGGAAGTTAATAATCTGATAATGATTAATTTCTCATTTATATAAAATGTTCAATTGCTTATTTCAAAAATAAAGTTTTGGCTTTTACTAAATGCTAATCAATGTCGATTCCTGAATGGTTAAGGTTCGAAAAACCTTATATATAAATTGTTTCTAAATACGTAAGTACACAAACTCGCTCTTATGTGTCGTTTTCTAAAAGGGCTGCACAAATTTCAATAAATTTTTTAAATTTTCATTTTTCGTAGGACTATAATACTTATTTATTATAACTCTCTGGCTATGTTAAGATTCATCAAAATCAAATTATTTCATCAATTAATTATGAAGAAACAGCCCGGCCGATCTTTACCAAAAATTGAATCTTTTGATCTGCTTTTGAATTTACAAAATCGGTTTAAGATTTATGGGTTAAACGTGAACAAAATTTTTTTTTGCTAATTATAAAGAAACAGCTTGGCTAATGGGCGCTTCTAAATTTTTGAAATCGGTTCAGCCTGTCTTAAGAAAACACCAAAGAAAGTCGTATATAAATGGTGACGCTCAACAAGTATTCTCATGTATCGATATTTAATTTAGTCGCCATCTCGGGTTTGCAATATGTCAACAGAACCATTTCTTTTTAATTCACGCTACCTGTCTGTTTCCCTCCAAAAATGCTTTGACCCATGCATTGACATGAGGTCAGTCAAGCGAGGTTAGTTAAGCGAGGTCAGTTGTGATCTGTTCTAATTCCGGGATTATTCATTTTTCTATTCGTCTTCAGTCGAGTCAGTCTTCGGACGAGTTCGGTATTCATTCAGTGTTCGGACGAGTTCGGTATTCATTCAGTGTTCGAACGAGTTCGGTATTCATTCAGTGTTCGGACGAGTTCGGTATTCAAACAGTGTTCGGACGAGTCCGGTATTGAATCGCTTTATTACAAATCTAGTCTGATTTTAGTTCCAGTGTAGTGCTAGTAAAGATCAGATATCCCAAAACAAGCTTCTTTTCTGATTACAAACGAGTTCCTTCATGTATCGGTTTTAGTGATCAATTTACGTACTTGCGTTCTAATTCCTCAAATTGTATTAGTTTCAGTACTTATTGACTTAGTGAAAGTTTTATGAAGTTTGCCTTTTCTTATTTGGAGTTGTATTATTTTTAGTTTGTTATTATCAAAGAAGAAGAACATTCTACTTTTCCAAATATAGTGCATTATTCAAGATTAACCAGCGGAGGTCTTATTATTCAAATTAAGGCCACACCACCTCGAGCCGGATCACAACAAGTGAGAGTTTTCTACAAGTTGCCGATTCTATTCACCAGAGACCAAGGTAAATTCATTAAATTTATATTTTTTTCGTCATACCCGTAACCTTTCATAAATATGCCGCCCAAAAATTAATCTGCCCGTGCTAAAATCGCACGGCTAATTTCCAAACGAGAAATGCATTTTTATTATTCAGAATACGTACGAAATAAACAGAAATGTGGAAGATTCATGCAAGCAAAAATTTTGTACGAATCTGATGATGTTAGATCAAGTTCGAAATCAATTATTAAAATTGACCGAAAATCCCAGTTTCGTACCGGATTATGCTGCTCTTCTATCAGTGGTGCTCCTACACGCGGAAATTAAATAATTTCAGAAAACTATTTCTGTCGAAAAGAATACTACGTCAATTCAAAATCCTGTATACCTACCAAACTACCATTGAAATGCCACAATTTGCGGGGGATTTAAAAAAATAGCCTCTGTTTTAGGAAACATTTAAAACACTTATTTACGATAATCCCGGGTTCGATTCGATCGATCTATATCTAAATTCCATCATTTAATGGGCGCATTGGAAGCTTCTGTACTTAAAATTTTTAATACAATATTATCTATTGCCAATATTCTTTAAATTTTATGGGATTTATAAATAAAAAAAATATTAAAATAATCGGTAACAGGACATTAACTATTTCAACCAGTTCCGACTAACTTTCAACTAACAATTCCGACAAATAAGCATTGATAATCGATCGTCGAACGATTGTCGACGACAATAAAGAGATCAAATCTTTATTCTAATTGTTTGGGTCACAAACACAATATCCGTACCATTCTCAGAGAACTTGTCTATGTTATGAAGCCAAACATTAACTAGCTGTAAGTGGAATTCTGTCTTAAGGCAATTAGGGCATCGTGCCTTAAGGCAAATTGCTGGAACTTCCCGTACCAAAAATTATTATTTTTTTTAAAAACGATTAAAATTGAAAAATTGAAAAAAATCTACTTCGAAAAAATAAGATTTTTGAGAAACTATAAATTGGACAAAAAATTACTTTTTTTTGAAAAAAAATTTTTTAAAAAAAAATTTTTAAAAAAAAAATTTTTTTTTAATTTTTTTTTTTAAATGTTTTCTTTATTTTGACATATTTTGGAAGATCTGAACTTGTTTTTCAGAGCAATCGTACTGCTTTAACTGCATAGAGACGAAATATAAAGCGCGTAAGCGCGGTGTCGCTGTCTAACGGGTAAACATTGATACGGAACCCATAGGAAAATAAACAAAATTTATACTTATTGTTAAAATCTCTATAAAATATCTGAAAATTTGATGTGCATATGTCTAATGATCATTTTTGACCGCCAAATGGCATTTTTTTTTACTTTTTTCGTTATATCTCCGAAACCGCTAGACCTGCCTTTATGAAAATTTGATCAATTTTTCATCTTGTCAATACAAGTAAAATGTTTTTTGAATTATTAAAATCGGACGCTCCGTTCTCTTAAAAACTGAGTTACCGTTTTCGGCACTTTTTGCCCCGTATCTCCGGAACGGCTAGACCTGCCTTCGCCAAAAACTAATCAGCACGTCTCCTTATCAATACGAATCGAATGTTTTTTGAGTTATTCAAATCGGTTGATCCGTGTTCCCGAAATCGTCGACGAAAATTTGTATCCGCACATACATACACACACGCACACACACACACACACACACACACACACACACACACACACACACACACACACACACACACACATACATCCATTTTTTCTAAGGTATGCCAAAATATTCAGAAACCTCTGAAACGTAAAGATATATAAAAATTTTCATTTTCGATTTTTTTGCGATTACTATAACTTACCCTACGGGAAGTTAATTATATACTTGGCTATAAAAATAAATCTTTATTTCTTTAATTAACTTCCCGAAGGAGAAGTTTATGTTTTCATAAAAAAATTCTATTCGCTAATTTTATGTTTTCTCGACGTTTCAAGCCATTCTGAATCGAATGAGACCAAATTTGGAAAAAGTATGTGTGTATGTGTGTGTGTGTGTATGAACAGATTTTTTACATTATATTTATAATATACAAAATGAAAATGCCGATTGGCAAGTGTACTGGTCAATTTGATATATAATAATATCAGTATATCAATCCCGCCTCTGATAGAACGAACCTGTTATATTTAATCCTGTTATATATAATCAATTGTTATCTATGATTACATAACAGGTTCGTTCTTGTGACGACTTGCATGCAGTCGTATGCAGTCGTGTGCAGTCGTGTGCAGTTGTATGCGTATGGGATGGAACCCATAGGTCGTTACACCTTCAGATTACATTCTAACACTAATGTTGACAATAAAAAAGTTTCAAACCGATATTCCTTCCAAAGATTCTCATCACAATATTTCCGATTAAAATTAATGTAACACATTATGCGTTGTGAACCAAAACTAATTTATCGCATTGTGTTAATCTTATGACTTTTACAAATGTTTACGTTCAGGTGGCAGGTACTAAAACTAGTGTGTTGCGCAATATCATTGATACCGCAAGCGATCAGAATTTTGTGACTAATTGAGATAACAACAAACGAGGTCTAAGTTCTTGTTATAGGTAACTTCGCAAAAAAAAATATTGTGCATGGCAAACTTTACCATTATGTCTAACGATTGTCTCTTCCAAATGTCTGTATGTGCCTATGTCATACGTGTAATAGTCAAACAACCACCAACCATTTAAATTCCCTTTAATTCCATTGATTGAGTTGATCCAACGATTGTTTCTTCCAAATATATGTATGCGCCTATGTCATACGTGAAATTGTCAAACCATAACAAACTATTAAAATTCTCTTCGATTCCATTTAGAAATGTTTATCTTTAAATCTAACCGATAATAATGTTTTTGTTTCACAAGAAGCAGATGCAATTTTAATTTGAATACTGTCATCTTAATTCGAATTATCTAAAGACGCAATGCACAATGCACAATGCTTAATAATGCAACGTGAGCAAAGTTATTTGAGATTTTGAGAGAAACACATGTAGTCTACCTATTCGTGCACCATTTCAGATTTGTAGCTTATATGATATTCACTAATCCGACTTAGAAGGCTTTGCCTTTGTCTTGTGTTCCTTGTCATCTGTCTACTAAACTTCATTGCCGAAAGCTTTGTCAACTAATTATTCCTAAACATGTCGATCTCATTCCGAAATGCAAGCTTAGATATTAATTATTTAATTTACACATAATAGATACATTCAATTCAGTGGCAATATGAAATATTTGCAAGCTTCACTTATGAAGTGCTCCACTCCACTTAAAGTAAGCTAAAATTTGTATTGATGGTCGCTGTTTTTTATTTCGGGAACCTAGTCCCTATCATGATTATTTTGCATTTACTTAAGACTTTTAAAATATTAATTTTATCAAACACATTGTTGAAAAGTTGCATTTCAAACATTCATAAGTATTGCCATTGATGGAATTTATTACCTTAAATTTTTAATTAGTGGTACATGGCATTGTGTCTCAAGGCTTACTGCTTTTTTGAAAACTTTGAAAAAATTAGATTTTGAAGAATTTTGAAGTTTTTAAAACTGAATACACGTATTTATAAACACCAGGGATGATAAAAAATCCTTCTTTGATGACTCAGATTGTTGGGTTATATTTTTTTTGTAACTGTGGACTGTTTAAAACGGTGAATCGTTGGTATAATAATTTTATATTTTTATTTTTTATTTTTGATTATTTATATTATTGGTTTTGTACAATTTTTTAACATTTTGTATTTCTTTAACATTAGAGTTGTCTCACTGTACAATATTGTACAATTTATTTTAAATATTTACAGTATCATTTAAATATTTAAATATTCTATAATTTTTTTTTTGAAAAAGAAGAGTCAAAGACTCGATCTTTATTAATTGGATGGATGCCCAATTGGGGTAACTTTTTATTTTTATTATGTCTTCTACGATCCAAATAATTATTTTATATATGTGTGTAAAAGCCACTACTTCAATATTGGTGGGCCCTCCTTGATTTTTTCAACAGTAATTTTATAAATTAATTATACAACTTAATATGCAATAATATGTAAAAATATGCATTACAACTAATTATTTTGTTCATTTTTGATTTCGCTTCAAAAATAATGCGCCCCACAGGTTGGAAACCGATGATTTATTATGTAAAAAATACGAATAACGATATTAAATCAAAACAAAATTTGCAGATTCATTAATGTAAAGAATTGTTTAATAATGTAACACAAGATTGGAAAAACCAATATCTAAATATTGTAAACATTATAATTAGGATTTAATCATTTATTATATTCGAAAATAAGATAACTCTTCTAATTTTTGTGATGTTTTTCTCTTGGAATATTGATTATTATTATTATATTTTGACGGTCAAGAAAGATTATTGCACAGACATATACACATCAAATTATCAGATATTTTAGAGATTTTAATAACAAACTATGTGTTTCGTATGAATATTTATTCTTTATTTGAATTTCATTTAAATAAAGTAAAAATAAATCTTTATAACTTTATTTGAAAAAAAAATTCAACATTTCCAAACTATTTTAAAATATAGTAAAGGATTATATTTTTTTTAAGTTATTTTTTTCACAAATTTCAAAATTCTTAAATCGTTTCATAAAAAAAATGAATTTATTTTAAACATTTCAATTTTCGGGCCGGAAAGTTTCAGCAATTTACCTTAAGGCACGACTCCATACACCACTAGTTATTTTTATATATTAAAATTATAGAAACTGGTAAAACTTTGTTTAAACTCATAATTTATTTGATGTTTTATTTTAAAAAAAAAGAGTTGATTTTGCTTCCGTCGAAAGTTACATCATGAAATAGGATATTCGTACCTTCCACACATGCAGAATATTCAAAATGAAAAAAGTTCGGCTTAAAACATAACATGAAAAAAATAATTATAATCCGTAGTGAATGTTTAACAAAGTTTGTGATGTTACAAATAAACTTTTATATTAGATGAGGATATTACATAGGATT